TATTCTATCAAAATATGGATTATTAGCTAAGATATTCTAATTGGTATAACATAAACAAAAAAGTAGTATAATAAAATTTTCAATGTAAGACACTAAAACCTTGTGCCTTGCGCAGTAAAAGATACCCAGGGCGATAGGGTTAAAAGGAAGGTAAAAATAACTTGGGTCTATAAATTTTGTTGTCAATGATTCAAATGTTCTATTTCATTTAAGAAATATTTAAGAACATTGACTGAAAATTCCAACTTTCTAATCACTATATTAACCTCTGTTAATAAGATCTTTGTTGCAAACAAGAAATATTCATAAATGTAAGCCTTGGTTTCCAAGCAATAACTCATCACTAAATGTACGTCTTTTAATAGTAAAATAAAGATTTAATATTAGCAAGGTTCTTACTTCAATACTTGTATCATTCAGAGAAGTCAGATCAACCACCTCTTCTTCATCACCTTCTCTTGTAAGGTCAATGCAGGAAGGAAGGTCTGTCAAATGTGAACATATTCTAAATTAGGTATGTACAAAAAGAGCCTTTGAAAAATATAATGACAAGCAACAAGTAAATTCAATAAGTTTGTTTGTCACTGGTAGAGATGTATTAACTATCAAATGGTTTCCATTAAAAATAGGTTGTTTGGTTGGTTGGCATTTTATGGCACAAAGCAATGAGGTTATCTGTGCCAAACAACTGGTAAAAATTGCAAATGTAAAAAGAAAACAAGTTAAAAACTAAACAAAGTTCGAAAATCAGGTAAAAACACTTAGACAGATTTAAAAAGGCCAATGGATTGGGGTATAGACCCTGTTCATGGCAAAAAGGCATGCAAATGGTTTTGGAAAAAGAAAAGGTAAAACCATTTTCTGTGGTACACTTCAACAAACAATTGAGGGTAGGCTGAAGCGGCCACTCAATAAACCTCATGTTTGACTGTTTAGGCAGAGTATTCACAATGACACTTTGTAGAATGGACAGCAACTGTCTGTTGTAGAGACACAAATGTAGAGGAAGACTTTCGTAATGTCGTCCTCTGTGTCTCTACAATAGGCAGTTGCCATCCATTCTATAAAGTTTCATCATGAGATGTGAAAGTGTCAACATAGAGCACGTTTGCAACAGCAGAAGGAAGATCTGTAGAGATAGCATTGATCTTGATATTAAAAAGTGTGACACTCAAGACACAGCCCTCAGGGGCTCCAAGTTCCTGTGTGAGAGAACAGGAAAGGACAGGAACACAGACTTTGAATCGCCTGTCTAGTAAAAAGTTCTGAATAAAAATGCGGAGATGGCCATGCAACCCATATGAATGGAGGTCCCACAAAATGCCATACCACCACGTAATGTCAGAAGCCTTCTCAAGATCAAAGAAAACAGAAACAAGATACACCTGATTGAGGAAGGCTTCCCTAATCAAGGTCTCAAATTGAATCAGACGGTCCACAGTGGAGTGCCATTGACATAATCCACACTGGGTGGGCAAGAGTAGGTTGTTTGATTTGAGGAACCAAACAAAACAAGCATTAACCATACTGTCTAAGACCTTACAGAGATGGTTAGTCAAAGCAATTGGATGATAATAAGAAGGAATCTTAGGATCCTTCCCAGGCTTAGAGAAAGGTAGGACAATAGGCTGGCATCAAGCTACAGGAAAAACGTTTTCTTGTAATTCCGATTAAAGACAACCAGAAGAAGAGCAAGAAAGGCAGGAGAGAGATGGCGCAGCATCTTATCGTGAATATCATCAGGTCTGACCAATGTACTGCCGGGCCAATGAAGAGCAAGCTTAAGTTCCGCCATCATAAGAGGGCAATTTTAGTCATAGAAATGATCAGCCCAAAAGGAAAGAGGCAATTGCTCCGCTCGAGACTTGATGGCCAAGAAGGCATGGGAAGAAACAGAAGTGCAGGATGCATGAGAAAAGATCTTGCTAAGGGTATCGGCAACTTCCTGGAAATTGGAGAGCAAAATGGAAAGGAGATAGGAAGCATACCTTCCACTGACCTTCTGAATCTTGTCCCATATGACTTTGGAACGTGTGGTATAAGAAATGCTAGTTGTGAACTTAATCCAAGATTCCTTTTGGCTTTGACGTCTAACCTGCCAAGCATGAGCATGCTGGAAAGCAATACGTTCGGAAAGAGTGGATACCTTTAAGGTATCCCAGGCTCGTTTCTGAGCCTTCCATTCCTGCTGGCAGGCTGGAGACCACCATGGACGAGGATACCATGAGAAACATGTCAAGGGTTTGGGAATAGAACGAACAGCTGCTTGAATGATTCAATCAGTTACTGCCTCAACGCATTGGTTAAGAGATGGCAGACTAATAACAGCAGGATCAAGTTCAGAGAGAGAGAGAGATGAAAGAGAGCCAGTTGCTTGGTCTAAATTCCATCATGGCATTTGAGTCGGTGGCATCAATCACAACCAATCTCCATCAACACTATAGAAAAATGTTCATTGCCCCATAGGTCACTGTTAACCCTCCAAGAAAATTTAGAGAAAGTGAAGGGGAACAGACAGACAAATCAATAGCAGTAAAAGACTGACTAGGTACATGAAAATAAGTATAAGAACCAGTACTGAAGAGAGACATCTTGTGACATCTCGAGAACGTACACTCCACGGAATGACCCTACCATCAATATCAGCACCATCCCAAAGGTGTCCATTGAAGTTTTCCAAGATGAGAAAGGGAGACAGCAACTGTTCTATTAGAGCATCAAAGTCTGATTAATCGCAAGTCTCTCCAAGGAGACAGGAAGAGAGAACAAACAGTGATGGTACGAACCAATGAAACATGGATGGCTACAGTCTCCAAAGGTGTATAGAGTTTAAATTAATGTACTCATGAAACAGTGAAACAATAACAAATGCATTCATTATTACCTCTTCAAAATTAGCTATGAGCACTCTTAGCTAATAAAATGGATATCTTGTATGCAGTACAGCTTGTCCATCTGACTGCATGTACTCTGGTTCCATAGAATTCAACCATCTGGACAAAATCATCCAAGATCATGCTACTTTACACTGAACATTTATTTTACCAAAGAATAGATGTATAATATTTCAAAAGAGTACGCACCATGAGATGTATTACACAAGTCAATAGTTTCCATACTGTGTTGAGATCTATTAGTGTGCTGAATGACTGACACTCGCTGTCTTCTCCTCCTTCGACTTGCAGTTACCTACAAACAAAATAAAGGAAATGATCAAATCACACCTACTGTACATGAAGCACTACCACTTTTCAACATAATGAACCAATATCACTGAATTATTTGATTCATGAAATAAATTAAAGTAAGCAGATAAATTCCAACTTGAAGAAATTCATTCACAGCAGTTACAGATTACAACCAAAATGATCACCAATGTGATTTAAAAAGAAAGCTTGTTGGAACACCAATAAGTAGAGCTACGATCTTCTTTTTGTACCACTCGATTTTCCATATATCAGCACATATAAATATGTTACAATGTCAATGCTGGCCATAAACGTCATGCCTTTCATCCACCTACAAGAATGGTCTGATCGAATATGAAAGAACATAAAAGTATTAAAAAACTATCACTGTAACATGTCAGCTTAGTTATACAGCAGAAATGAGAATGGGCAAACATGACAGTGACTACTAGTTGCTTACCTATATAAAACATTGTGTACATAAACAGACACACAAAACAAAAAAGGGGGGTCTTTTTACTCTGGGATTGATGGTTACCAAAAACTTTCAAATGCAGAAACTGTTAAAATTTGTGTATTTAGACAAATCTAAATCTCACACCTTTTTTTTTAATTTAAAAAGATATTTCAAAAGCTTTGACAATTTTTTTCCAAGTGGATGTGCATGGTAATACAATTACTATGAGATGCTAGTTGTTTGGCTCTTCATTTGCTGTAACCACATTTGAGTAACTAATGACTTCTGTTGGTCATCTCTTGGGAAATCATAATTGTGAAGATCATCTTTATGCTGCTCCTTGAGCTCGCAGACTGAATTTTTGGATGTAATGGTGTAGTTTGCTTCAGAAACACAATGGATATCAGTGTGTCTATGAAAGGTTGCTGTATTCCCCTGGAAAAAGTAATGTCAAAGGTATCATGTTTTTGTACTTCTCTTTCAGGGCTGTGATAAAATAACAAATCTCCATGTTGGATGGTATATCGAATCAATCAGGATATGAAGATCACAGTTCTTCGAGCATTCTTCCAGAGCTCATTTTCTTCCACTGATCCCAGAGATCTTTCAATAACATAGTCCTTGAATCAATCTATATAATTTTGGCCATAAATTTTACCGTGTGGTGGACGTAAAACCCAACAAATAGTAAATTCCTTCACAAAGAGGTTGGAATTCAATTTACTTCTCATGTCTGTTTCTTAATTACCAGAGGATTCATTGGTTGCTTCCCTCCATGCTTTCAAGATATTTTTAAAGCAGGGTATAATCCATAACCTGAACAACCACAATGGCTGCATTTGAAGCATATTCCATAACATGGATCATTGCATTTACATGTTTACCACTCCATAAGAGTTCCCTTACTGTTCTCTACTACATTTATCTTCACCTGGCCATTAACAGAATCATCGATTCAGTAAAAGTAGTGCCAAACGGCTGCATTTTAGCCAATGAGAATTATCACAAGTTATATCAAAAACAAAAAAAGCCATAATGGGTTAATATTTCTTGATCAACAACAAAGCCCCCCATGGCTCACACAATGCATGTTACAAATGATGATGACATGATTTTAAATAGCTCTAAGAAATATTGCATAAAATCCAATCTGTCAAGAAAAAGCAGATAGCTTCAATGAGTTAAAAAAAGAATGATCACATACTTGTGAAAGTGAGCAACAAATTCAAAGGGTTTATTTTAATGGATACATCCACTTATGTAGAAAATTTTAAGGTACATCTTGACTAAGATCCCACAACCCTACAAAAGAATTGGAAAAAAATGTTAAATGGAATTTTGAAAAAAAACTTTAAAAGTAAAACCATTACACCCATGCAACTTCTAGACAATCATAGACCATCTCATTCAAAACCACCTGAACTGTATGCTATACCCAAATATCATAAATCTGACACATCTGTGAGATCCATAGTCTCCATATGCAACTCACCATTAAAATCTATTTTTTGGTTACTCAAAAATATACTTCACCTTTACACCTAAATAGCACCAATGACTTTCACAACAGGTTGCATGAAGATGGTTTACAGGTGAGCTCAAACACTATCCTATTTACTCTTGATGTCATCTCTATGTACGCTTCCATTTCCATTGAATAGAGTATAAGCTGAGTTATGAATCTTATTAGATTGACTACCCTTTCTGGTACCAATGATAACCATATAAAACTCATTTAAAATTCTCTTGATGAAACTTCAAAAACCAATATTGTCCAATGGTTATCCGTATAGTTACATTACTAAGATATTCCAATTTGGACTCTCAAGATTTGAAAAATCAACAGTAAAAAATGAAACTACCATATCTAAACACTGTTTTATGGACTATGCCCTTCATGGATAAACCTTTAACTATTTGTCTTTGTCAAGCAATTAGGAGATCTGGTTTGAATATCCACATCATACAAAAACTGGTGGATATACCTACTTGTTCAGCTTTCAATAACAACAATCCATGCAAACCCAAAAGTGCTTTACCAAGATAAATCCTGCACACTTAGGTACACTATCTATGACATGACGTGTTCAGCTACATACGTAGGTGAATCCAATCATCCTATACATGATCATCACAAAGAGCACATTCATGCCACTTCAAGTCTTGACAACAAAGAAGACACTGCTGAACATTACATCAACACACACAGAATAATTAATGAGACATCATATTGGATCAAAATTTTAGATTTGTAACAAATTTCTTGAAAGGAAATTTAAGGAATATTTTGATTCAATCAAAATGCCCTTCCATTAACAGACATACAATGCCTGGCTCCTATAAATCTACTATTATTTCATGTAAGATATAGATTTTTTTAACATTTACTTTTATGATCAGCAACTCTAACCTGTTCAATAATACTATTAGCATGCATCACTATGCACCATTCTATTATATTGTTGTAGGTTTATATTCTTTTTGGTTACTACAATTCAAAATCAGTTTTGTAACCTGTGACATTCATAGGCCCTTGAAAAGGACATAACCTGAAATGTCTGGTAGAACAAAAAAAACAATTTATCTATTGTTCTATTGTTATAACAAGTTTCCTTGTATTTTAAGTAGTTGAATATGGAAGCAATTAACTTGCTCTTAAAGTAAGAACCAACAATTGGATATGGCATCCAAAACTTTTTCACCTAAGAGCCATTGGCTTCTTAGGCAAAAAAGTATATTTGAAGCCCTAAATGGCATATTAATTAACTTGTATATCTTACACTGAACATTTCAAGCTTAATCAAAAACTACTTGGAATATACAAATATACACACACACACACACACATATATATATATATGGAAAGTTATCTTTATTGAGACAGGTAAGGGTCAGAGGGCATGTCATCACATTTGTAGGCTTACATTCAAAAATTTATTTAAATATTATTTTATATGTGTATGTCAATAAGCTTGGCATGAAATTGTAGATTATAATTCAAATTTCAGTATTATACATTAGTTAGTTTCTTTATTTGAAAGAATAGTAAAAAAAAAGAGGCTAAATATCAATTTTTGTGTGTCATGTGGTATGTGGACTTCTGGGTTTAGTCAGATTACATTTTATGACTCCCACAATACATCTAAGCTTTCATAAAAAGTAGTAACTCAAATGTCTGATATTGGCAAGCTAGAATATAAAATAAGAACCTCCTACCTTTTCCATTTGCTGAGATATCATGATATTTAGCAAATACACCATATTGGCTCCACCCACTACTTCATCATTTGAGAAGACTTTTTTTATGAACATCTACTTTTATATACCAATAACTTTATAACCAATCGAAAGCTATACATTTATTTTACATAATTCTGTCACTCTTCCTAAGTTATCTATGAGAGAAAAGCTCTTGTATCATTGGAAAGTTTAAAGTATTGCTATCAAGGCTATTTTGTGAATAGAAATTATTAGTTAGACCCAAATACAATTTAGTTATGAAGCCTGATAAATTACAATGAATTTTTGGGGTATTGGTATAGTAATTTATATTTGTTTTGTATTCCAAAATGCTTATATAAAGTCTACAAAAATTATCATTTTCCCACCTCCACATGTGAATTTCAACAAGGCTTAGCAAGCATGGCTCACGAGTGCAAATGAGGAGTTTGTAGCATTGTAAGTAATAGAGATCATTGTTTTCCAAATATTTTTTATTTACTGTTTTATGTTTGAAGAAAAATAACTGAGATTTAAGTATTTATCTGAAAATAATATTAATATATATATATATATATATATATATATATATACATACACATATATGTAATGTATGGTGCCCAGGTTTACTTGCTTGCAGGTGGTACTTCGTAAATACCGGGTTGAGCTTGCATTTTACTGGTAAATAATTTGTATTTAAAGTTACAATCAAGAAGGCTAAGCCAAGAATACTAGCCCATTCAAAACGTCCAGTATTTATATTACTGGAAACTACATATTTATTGGTTATTGTGTAAGCATGGTAAAATAGGAAACACGATGTTCATAAGCACTTACACACATTTACACCTATACCAACACTAAATTCCAACCACCCAGGAAGATAACTAGTATCACAATACTTAAATTTATTGGGTCGGATACAACTTTGTACAGAGCCATATCATAAATATTTCTTTCACTTTTCTAAAGTACTTTAGACAATTCTTGTTGCAACCACTGTACTGTAAAGAAGCCGGCAAATTCTACTATACTGCATTTTCGGAGCTGGAATTTGATTAGTTTCTGTAGGATACATTCGCTTACTGACTTATTGGATCGAACCACAGACTTTCTACAAAGTCATAACATAAACATTTTATAATACTTTAGACAACTGTCATTGAAACTATTATACTGTTGGTAAATCCTACCCCATTATGTTTTCAAACCAGGAAAAGTTCTAGAAATTGCACCGCATGAGCATATTTGATATTGATGGTGTCAAAATAAGTAAGGAGAAGCAATTCATTGCTTTATATTCGACAGGTTTCTACTTCAGCCACTAACAGTAGATAAATATGGGAAATATGTGTGAAATGATTAGAAGAAACTCTCAGGAATCTTACTTGAGAACTTAGTGTTCCATACTGATAAGACATTTTGTTTTATCTGGTTTCTAAGTCAGCTCCTAACAATAAAATTAGTACAGAAAATAAGTGTAAAAAGGTGAGAACTATAAACTCTTTGAAACTTTGCGATCAATATAACAATACTATACATCTTATTTTCCAAACTGCAACCTTTATTTTTGTTAGAAGAAATAACAGAAAGAAATAACAGCAGAAGAAATAACAGGTAAAATACAAAGTTTTAATGAAACGAGTGTTCGATATTTAATTACGAAGTTACTTATTTTTCATTTTTCTTTATTTATTATTATAAAAGTAACTAAAATCATAAAAATAGAAACTGATTAGGTGACATAATGAAAGAAAAATAATAAAAAACTTCATAGCATATACTAGCAAGTAGCTTGTGTATTACACTATTCGATATGGTAACATAAGCTGCATGTGCACCGCGTAATTTTCAGCTTGTGTCAAGATATTTCTAGTCAGACATGGTTCAAAGGTCAATAAAAAATTAATAAATATAAATAGATATATACTGTTACGAGATTTAAGCTACTTAGAATCAATATTTGGGGTTTCCTGTCACAATTTGCAGTCATTCTCGAACAAAAGAAAGGGTAATTTAGATTTATTTCCTAGGATATAGGAATCATGCAAACAAAACTTGACAACTTTCAGACAAAGAAAAGTATTTTTAATCTTAAAATCAAAATTACTTTGCATGTTGGATAGTCAACATTCTAAAAGAAAAAATTGAATGACAAAATCTTTAATTAAAAAATCTTAATACTTAATTTAAAAACCTGATATTTTGTATATGAAAGCCATGTAATGTTTACCAATAGCCTGAAAAATTTGTGAAGATACACATACATTATCAAAAATTACAGTACAATTATTCTCATGGATACATTCGTGGTCACGAGATGGGTGGATTCCAGTCAGCCTGTAATGGAAGGGTTAACTAAACTCTATTATTCATTAAAAATAAGGCCTTGGTAATTTAGTTCTAACAAAATGATTTTTATTTAATGCCTAAGGCTGCATGGCTCACCTTCAACTAGATCATCCAAATAAATTTGTTTTAAAAACTAATTAAAAATTAGCAAACAATACACCACATCAAATATGACATTAGAACTGAATAATTATCAGAATGTAATAATTGATACATCATTGTTCTCATTAATCAATTACATTCAACTAATCCTTTATTCTCACGAGATTGGATCGATGGAATAATTGACAATACTACAAAATAGAAACAAGAGTTCAATTAGTTAATTAGTTTTGTGAGACATGATACTAACTGGTTAGATTGACCAAACTTGAATTATTTGAAAAGAATAATAATATATCATAATGAAAATATTTCTATTATATAAATAATTGGAATAAATGAAAACAATTTAAATTAATTGATTCTTTTCATAAAATTATTCAATTTAATCATAATCTTGATTAATAAGTTATTTTATGTGACACTAATCAATGTAATCAAGTTAATAACCCAGCTTTATATAACAAAAAGTTTTATAGCATATACATTTGATAACTAAAACCTTATCTTGAAATGATACCTACTGAAATTAGTTTCAAAATATTGAAAAATTAAATCACAAACTGATCTTTAAATAGAAAAAGCTGTTTAAAACAAATTTCTTAAAAATCATAAAATAAACTCTTTACTTTAAAATAGGCTTTTAAAGCCTACTTAAGTGAAAGTAACTATGAAACATTATAAAAGTATATTAGTTTAGAAATTCAAACTGCTTAAGAAAAGTGTCTGTTAAATGATCCTAAATACATTTCCACATTATGTGAAGTTTCATCTACATTATACAAACGGCAACAGACTTTATTTTACAAGTCATCTTACTTCTTCAGTAGGTAGTGGTGTCACATGAATAAGTATATTCACAAATGTGAACAACCTTCAAATTTACAGAGTAGTGGGTGTGATATACAAGCATTTCATGTCTTCTACCTGCTTTAATTATATTGAAATCTTCAAAACTTTTCATTTAATTGATTGGTATGCAGTTTTAGCATAAACACTTGGTACAGAATGATGTTGATAATGCTTGGTTTCTTTGTTTTCTGTAATAATTTATCTCTATTCTACCCATAAGGATATTGCAGTAATATATCAAAATCAGTGTTTTCCAACCTTTTTCACCACAGATCCCCCTTCAGCAAGCAATGAGTGCTCATGCCCCCTCCTAATAAATTTTTAGACAATTCAAATATTTTACTAAAATGAAAATTACAAGGCAATAATAGTCAATTCTCATACTTTAATTTTAACAAATACAACTTTTCTGTCCACCCCATCAAAGTTTACTGCCCACTAGGAGGCAGTACCACCCACGTTGAGAAACACTGATCTAAATTTAAAAAATTAACAAATTTAATATCCTTTACTGGCTGACTCAAAACTGTCTGTATGTCATAGCCAACGATTGCTTTGTAAGTACAAAGGTCATGAGGTGACTGTGATCAAAGAAACCAAGTTTGCTTGTTGAATTCAGGCTCACTTTCTCGAATCAGTTCTATCTGGAGTTCTTTGAGTACAGACACACCTTAAGATCATCATGTTTAGTTCAACAGATGTGTATCACAAAAGAAAGAAAGTTGTGTAGCTAACCACAATCTAGTTGAAGTGATTGTTTTCCTGTGTGTTAATATACTGCATTTTATTTTTGTCTGTTTCAATAGGATAAGGAACTACATATTTTTTTGTCCAATGAATGTGATTCACATTTGGGGCTGAAAAAATCAACTGGTGATATCAGTCTTTCATTCTGACTCAATACCAAAATCATACCACCCCCGAAAGGCCAAAAAGTTCTAAATCATGGGTTTATTTCTATTCTAGCATTGCTAAATGCACAATGAAATAAGTATTACCACTATAGCTGGGGTTATTAAAGATGAAAAATCTGTTGGTCACCTTAAATTTATGATTTGAACTGATCCTATTGCCTCCTAGAAGCCAAAAAAGCTTAAAATCCATACATCTGCCGATCAGATTGTTGGAATACACAGAAAAAAGCAGAATAAAAAATTCACTTGTGTCCTACAATTTGAATCTGAACTTATCTCTACCTCTTACTGCCCTTTAGAGGGTGTAATAAACCAAGATTTGTTCAATTCCTTTTTTCTTCCATTTACTTCGAGCTGATAATGCCACTGTATGCAAGCAATGCATGTAAATGTTTCTGGCAGATAAAATTGTTCTATGAGAGCTCAAAACAGTTACTACTATTCCATCACTTGTTTCCATTCCCATTAGATAATCTAAATTATCAGCCTCTGAATCTGAAAAAGCATAGCCTACAAGTTCATTGCTTTCCTGATTTCCCTATTCCCATCTCTCCTTTTGTGATTCTTTTGCCATTACCCTAGTTTGCTTTTTTTTTCCTGACACTTTATCTGTACTAAGATTACAAAAAATCATCCATTTTCCACGGACGCTACTCATTTCTCATCCTCTGTAAGCAAGTCAAAAGCACAGTTCACTGAAGTCTCAAAGGATTCTAACTGTTCTTTCTTTGAGACTGGGTATGACTTCAAATAAATCAATTCATTAACCATTTCTCAAACATCTCTTGTTATCAGCCTTAGATTTTTAGTGTAGACATTCATTTAAATTCATTTTGTATACAGTCCTTATTATGAGCAATGTTTTAACTATTCATTATCATATTGATAGATGTTATATATCCCATAACTATGATAATGAATGATACCCCCTAGTATATTAGAATTTCTTGGCAACTGATTTCCCTCAAAAGAAGCCTTAACAGAATATCCCTTATCATTCAATTCCAAAAATTGGTGCTTGCTCCTAGTACTTGCCATGCTTGTTACAAACTGAGTCTCATACCATCTGCAACCGAATCACCTTGACTACAGTGTGGATAGAATGCTGTATGAACAAAAATTAAGAGTATTAAACAACTAAATCTGTGATTCTATAATCTAGTGAAATATAACTATTTTCATACAATCTTTGCTGTATAGAGATGACTATATTTTGTTAAACCTTGACTATGGAATTAAGAAAAAAAACAAAATCAAGAGGGAATCCTCAGTAGCTGCAGCACTTGAAATTATTTTAGGTAGGATTAGAGTAAATTAACATATGAAACCTTTTTGTCCTTTTTATTAGCTATATTTTTGTGCACCAGTAATACCAAGCATGAGGCACACGTATACCTGATTTGATTTTATTACTCACCAGGATCTCTATCATCTTACCATCAAATTCTTTTATGCAGGATTAGAATACATTAATCTATGAGAACTTTGGCATGGTCAAATACATCAACTGAAAAGGTTTGACCTCCTGAGTCCAAAACTGTAATTAGATCTCAAATCGACTAAGTGATGATGGAGGTATGAGCTAAAAGTTTTTACTTGAAAAACAACTCTGAGCCATTCTATGAGCCACTATGCCATGAATAAAAAGATGGTTCCTAACAGACTAGTTGAAACTGTTCATGTAATACATTGCATGCTGTTTGTGATAATTGTTCACCAAGCATGTATCAATGCCAGGATACAAAAATATGTAGGATGTAGGTGGTTTTTTATGGGCTTTAGGGGAGTAGTAGAACTTTGGCAATGAGTCAAAATGAAAACCTTGTGTTAATAATTGATTTTTTTTGCTAAATATATATATATATATATATATATACACATACACATTTATAGATCTAGCTGATGAAAAATTATCAAATACAGATTATATTTCTTATCTCTTAACTAAATCTGCTCTTATTAAGGAGTCTATCTAACACTTGTCAAGAAAAAGTTTGTGTGAATATATCACAATGTGAATGAACCAAAAAAGTGTATTTAAGAGAAACCAGCAAGTAACTTAATTTTTTCACTCTTTTAAAAACAAACATAAGGGAACTTTGACATAAAGAAAGAATAAACTCAAAGAACAGAAAAATTGATGTTTAATAACTTGCTAAGTGTTTTCAACTCCAGGAAAGTGATCAACAGAATATAAAACTCACTGGCAAGTAGTAACAAGACTGAAAAGTGAGTAATTAGGTTTGGTAGCATTTGATATTTGTTTAATAAACTACTGTGGTGTCCATTATAAGACTGTAATTTTGACCTTCAAAGATTTGAGCCTATGATAGCATTAATTTGCATAGCTGATGATGTCACCATAACTACTACTTTAAATTTGATTTAACCCTTTCACTATGGGCTCAGGGACTGACCACAACCATTTTGTGCCTGTTATAGTTTTCATACTTTAACTTTTAATACAATTTGCATATCTTCACAAAATTTGGAAGATTATCATTATACATAATGAGGCTTTTGTATACAAAATATCACTTTTTTTTAGTTTTAAGATTTCTAAATTAAAAATTTGCTTGTGCATTTTTTTAATTCAAATGTTAATTACCTTACATACAAAATAATTTTGATTTTCAGATGAAAAGTACTTTTATGCATCAGGAAATTGTCAAATTTCATTTGCAAAATTGCTATAGCCTCCTGATAAAATCCAGATCAATATCAATTTTAGAAAAACTATATTTTATCAGTTCTTTTCTCTATTATATCTTGGTAATGACGTTTAAGTTACGTTTCTCCATTCTAGAATGGCTACAAATTGTAACATGAAACCACAAATGTTTATACTAAATAGCTTAAATCTCGTAACATTATATAATTATTATTTTTATTTTACTGATCTTTCAGCCATGTCTGACTAGCCTTACAGAAGTTTCAATCACATGTTACCATAGCATAATTCTTGTGTTTACAAAGTGATCTGTCTTGGCTTTGTTCTAGTGGACCAGTATTTTATAAAACATAGTCACATTTCAGTTATAATACATTACATATATGTGTGTATATATATATATTATTACTATTTACAAATAAATTCTTAAATTTTAGTTATTTTTCTTAAAATATAGTACAGCAAATAAAGAAATATAAAAAACAATGATCTCTACTACTTACGATTCTAAATAAGTTTCTACTTGTCTTGTCGTTTTTCGCACATGGTGGATGTAAAAAAACAATTTTTTTTTAAGATTTTATACATGAATTTTAAAATAACAAAAAATTATAAGTTACATCACAGAATTCCATTGTAATTTATTGGGCTTACTAATTAAGCTTTATTTTGGTCTAAAAATATATCGTTTTTTGAACAACATTTTCTCTTACTGCTTCCATTCTGAGATTGTGAACAAAAAGATTAATCTTGGGAAATACATACCATGAACAGGCTGAGAAAACTATAAATTCTGAAATTTTGGTTGGTTATAAATACATGATAGAGCGAAGCGGGTGTACATAAGAAAGAATTTCCAAAAATGGAAGAGGTGGGAGGGGCCACTGTGTTTGATTCACTAAATATAGTCCTATCTCAGTAAATAGAAAAAATAGAAGGTTTTTATTTTATATTCTAACTTTTCAATATTGGTAATCTGAGTTTCTAATTTGTAAGAAACTATAGACTTTGTATTTTGACATCACAAATATCTAATTTGAGCCAAAGCTGCATTCAATATATCACGTGACACACAAAAATTTATATTTAGGAATTTTGTCTAAATATTTTACTTTCAAATAAAGAAATTAACTAATGTATGATACTAAAATATGAATTATATTCTACAATTTGGTACCAAACTTACTGACATACATTTAGTTCAATAAACTTTTGAATGTAAGTCTACAAACATGATTACATGCTCTTTGACCCCTGACCATAGGAAAATCCATTGCAGTATGGTTCAAAACCATTTTATTTTACATTTAATCCATATAAATATAATAAATCATTCACATTTGTTTGAAAACACATTATATAGAACAATAATCAAAATTAATGAATAATTAATTGAATATATCTAACAAACATAATAATAAATAAACAGCAAAATTGGACATTGTGATTAGAAAATAAATATGAACACTCAACTATAACAAGTTAAGAGAAAGTGTTATTACCAATCGCATTTTTAACAACATTGTTGAGTTATTGAACATAAACCATCAGGAGTGGGAAGGAGATCAGTTACACCAGTGCTTTTTTTTTTATATATTAAAATTATTTATATTAGCATATATTTTGTTGCATACTTATTCGCCCATTACACTTCTCTTATGCCTTCGACACTAGATATTCCATACATTTTATTAAAGCAATGCAGCTGCTACTTGTGCTCAACACAATGGTCTGTTCCAATGCACAAAAGGAGTTGCTATATATAAAGTTTGGTGGTGGTATGTGTTTTGTTTTGGTAAAACTTTTGTTTATGTGTTGAACATCATACAAAACAAAAGCTCGAATTTTCCATGTGAGTGACAATTAGTATGCGATTACTATTCAAACATTGTTGACTAGTTTCTGTTGACAAAAATGAATAAAAATAAACGACTACTTAAATACCATCCAACAAAGCCTAGAATGTTTAAAAGTATCTTCAAGTTCCTGGCTAACAAAAATGCCACTCAAAAATGGATTCATGTAGTTGACTACTTGACATACTTTTACAATTTCACAACATAATATAAAAATTAAAAAACAACTCTGCTTTATTTACTACAACATACAATCTATCTCAAAACATAAAATGAAAATGAACTACTGAAATAACTTTGAAATTCAAAATGAAAGAAAGAGGAATTCATGTACAAGGTATCCTGAAATTTACTCATACATTTTACCCTAGATTAAATTCATTAAAAGTTACAACAAATTTCACAAATAGGACTAAATTTCAGAGCATCAAGACTTACTTGTCTCAAGTATGAAACAACATATTTACTCATCTTGGATAATTTTCTGATTACCTGAGGACTGCAGTTCCAAGCAATTCCAGCTGTTATCGGCACAGCTAGTGATGATGGAAAATATTATTCACGAGCTTTATGTTAATTGTAGTTTTGGAAATTAATTTGTGTGGATTTTTTTTATCTATACAATTGTACTCTTTCATCCTGAAAAAAAAAATTACATACATATCTCGCACTACTACTAGAACAACTATTTATCCAACCAGACATTAAGATGAACCAAAAAGTTGTTTGATTCAGTATCAAACCATGCAACTACTCAAAACTTAATTGAACAATTTCACCATTAAACACTGCTGAATAAGAACTTACTGAAGACATCTTGGAAGATCTGAAATATATAAATAGACAGAATAACCAAATATTTGGTACTGATGATGATGTTACACAGACACTACTTCAAGCTGTACTGTTCTTGATGCTGTCTTGTTTAACAATTCATGTTTCTCTTGATGATAAAGCGTCACTTTATCCAGTTTATAAGAGCAAGAAAAATTGTAGAAACAGCTCAAAGTCACACTAAATTAAAATAAAAAGTATCAATATAAGTAATCCAAAAAGTCAATAACTTATTACCTTTATGAGCTACAAATAAATGTATATACTTTCACTTTTACACAGTTGAACATAAATTGAGACAATGGTACACCTAACTTATAAATACTTCCAGAATTTCTTTGATAATCAATCAATCACCTTAATAGATGCAATAACTCTCACTACAAATACTTAACTGAATCTTTCACTAGATACTTTATTGATTTCTTATTAACTTCACTAACTGTTCATTTATAATCAATTCATTGCATCACTGCTTTGCTGATTATTGTATTTATAATAATACTTGTTTTATACATTTTCCATGAAATATAATCAAAAACACAAGTTGATAATTTCTCTGATTATTAATCAATTAATTATAATTTGGTTAATCATTTATTTTACATTTTGTTTGTCATGTGATGTCTTTTCAGTTAAAAGATCTCAGTTTTGGTTTCTTCTGTTTCTATTCAGTATGGTCTCAATACTGCTAAGCCATTCTAGATGAGCGTCCAGGTCAAATTCCAATCTTGAGTTTCAAATTACAACTGAAAACATTCTAGGAAAAAGCTAATATCATCCTCTCTCTGATTGAAGCCACATCTACTTTCCAAATTAATATGTTGTTACATGTAAGCAACAGCCTTTCCTAGACTTCAAGGGCATGCTTATAACCAATTGAAAGAGCAGATTTCCCAGTAATTTCTCATGCATTATCTATAATCTCACATGATGTAACTGCTGACCATGAAAACTTACAATTGCCAAGTGCATTGTTGGAGATTTTTGTCCCTAGCACTCAGCTATTTTTCTCCTTTTATACATATTAATTTGATAGATAATTAAATTGAATTTAGGTCTTACTTTTATATATTATATATTATTTGTGTTTTAAAATTCATACATGAAAGGTTTAATTATTTTTTAATATTATTCTAAACTCTGTCTCGCTCAACAAGTCTTTTTTAGAAGGCAAGTGTAAAACATTTTCATGAAGGCAAAAGTTTCCCTGCCGATCATAACATTATGTGGTTTGTGGGCACCAGTTGACATTTCAACATAAATAATAAAAGAATTGGAAAGGAAACTAAAACATAAAAATAAACTATGAGCAAAAAGGTAAAAATGTGAAATTACTTTTATAATTACAAAGAATATATTTTAAGATTATTCAACAAAAAGATAAAAGGTATGTACATTCTTTGATACATTGTTTTGGCGGAGTATTCATAATGAAACTTTGTTGAATGGACAGCAACTGCCTGTTGTAGAAACACAAGTGTAGAGGACGATGTTTTGAAAGTCTTCTGCCTTTTGTCTTAACACACTGACCAAGCATTCTGGGATTTCCATACATATAGCCAATGACTGTGCTGGTTGTATTTTCTGATCATGCATTGAAGAAAATCCAGAATATAGGTTGACTTACCTAATGTCTGGTATGCAAGCTTGTCAATTGAAAGTTTCTGTAACTTACAAGATGTTTTCCTGCCCTTTTGCTACGTACCATCTTATAAATACTGCAATTTTTGCTCAATTCAATTAAGAAGCTGGTAAAGTACAGTGCCAATTAACAGGAATCCACTGTTTTGAATAACATTCATGAATGTTCAAAATAAAATGTACATGGGGCACTTGAATTTTTCTTTAGATAATACACCTTCCTACCAAAACAGTTTCTTTCCAAAATGTAATATTTAGAGTAGTTTCAGCAATTTTCTTAACTGGCTACCAGCCTAAATGACCATTTCAACTGTAAATTGGGCTGTTTCAAATTTCTTTTGTAAATTTGTAACTGTGCATTTCTAAGTGTAAGATTATTTGCAACAATGCATAATGCAGCTTAAGTTACATCAAACACCATTGGTTAAGTTTAGACAATATGACTGCACAAGATGCAAGTGAGAAACTTCCAAGGTATTATTAAGAGAAGTAATGTTTGTGTAATGTAGTAAATGTGTAATGATATGATATGTCATGTAATATATAATTATGTGCCAACAAATGCCTGCATTTGAAGGAAGAAATAATGCCAACTTACTTTCTCACAACTTGTATGATTAAAAATTTGTTGTAACTAGATTTAAATATATCATATATAGCATAATTTGGGTACAATTTTAATTTAAATATACCATTTGGTAGAATTATAATATTTATTCTGAATTTGTTTGTTGTTCTGAATATGTACAGGTTTCACTAAACACATGGTCGAGAAAACCTTTAAGCTGATGTTGTTTCAAGTTACCTTTATTGATCTCCAAGTAGTTAATACCTGTTACCGCCTTAGATGAAGATTGCTTAATACTATGTGTAACAAAGTCAACATCAGTGTCATTCAATGGTTGTTTAGGTATATCTAAAGGTTATGGCCTTACCAATGTTATAATGAGAATGCCCAACAATGCAGATATCACTTCACCCAAAGTTTATTGCAAACCAAAAAATGTTGCATTTAGTCAGTTTGGTCTGGAACTTCATCTAAATAGTATTGTTTAGAGCTTCTTGTTATCCAGAAAAAGCAATTGTTCCATTTAAGTAACAACAAGTTCATGCACTATGTTTGTGTTTAGTGCTGAATAAAAATTATTCAATTTGTATTATTCTTTGTGTCGAGTCTCATTACTTCATTTACATCAACTCAGCTAGTAAGATTCAGTAATACTCAATTATCAATACCTTAAGCAAATCTTCTGTTATCAAGTGTATCTATCTATTTAATGTAGCTTTAAAGATATATCTTATAGCACTTTACATGGTCTGGCTTAAAAACAAACTTAAAAAAATGGATATTACTTAAAAAACAACACAAATATACAAGATTATTTTGATGTCCATTGTTTAGATAATCACAGATTTATAAGTATACTTATGTTTTGCATTTCTAAAAATATACAAATGAAACACAAATCAGCATGTCACTGGCTTGCTAACTATTAGTGAAATATATATTGTAAATTTAGTTATGTTGAAGGAGAAGGCCCCAAC